TACAGACCTGTCTCTCTCCTTCCGTTCATAGCGAAAACTCTCGAACGAGTTGTTTTCAACCAGGTATCATTGTTTCTTTCACAGAACAACAAACTGGATGCTAACCAGTCAGGTTTCAGGAGTGGCCATTCAACTGAGACTGCGTTACTGTCAGTAATGGCAAAAGCTTATTCCAAATCATCAGTTCTTATTCTGCTGGATCTATCTGCTGCTTTTGACACTGTCAATCATCAGATCCTCCTGTCTGCCCTCTCTTCACTGGGCATCACAGGGATTCCTCTTCGCTGGTTTGAATCCTATCTCATTGGTAGGTCTTTCAGGGTGGCCTGGGGAGGGGCGGTCTCCAAAGCTCATCAACTGGTCACTGGGGTTCCTCAGGGATCAGTTCTTGGACCCCTCCTCTTCTCCATATACACAACATCACTGGGTCCCATCATACAGGCACATGGCTTCTCCTACCATTGCTATGCTGATGACACACAGCTCTATCTCTCATTTCAACCAGATGATCCAATGGTAGCTGCACGGATCTCAGGCTGCCTGGCGGACATCTCGGCATGGATGAAAGAACATCACCTCCAGCTCAACCTGGCAAAGACTGAGCTTCTTGTCTTCCCTGCCATTTCACCATCCAGCTAGGTTCTTCTACAATTACTCCATCGACTTCGGTCAGAAATCTTGGTGTAATCTTTAATGACCAGCTGACCTTCAAAGACCACATTGCAAAGACTGCTCGATCTTGCAGGTTTGCATTGCACAACATCAGAATGATCAGGCCCTTTCTAACGGAGCATGATGCGCAACTTCTTGTCCAGGCCCTTGTCATTTCTAGGCTGGACTACTGCAATGCTCTTGTGGCTGGATTTCCATCAAGCACAATCAAACCTCTACAAATGATTCAGAATGCAGCTGCAAGACTGGTCTTCAACGAGCCCAAAAGAGCCCACGTTACACCTTTTCAAGTGACAGCTGAAAACTCATCTCTTTCGACGCTACTAGACTTTATCCTAAATTAAAGAAAAAAAAAGCTTCTTTCTCTTTATTTATTCCTTCCCTTTCTAGCTTGTACTTATTTTAACAATGCCTAGAACCTGGTTTTACAAGCACTTCCTGTGTCTGTTTGCCTCTTTAAGAAGAATCGCTTTATGTATTCCCCAATTGTAAGTCGCTTTGGATAAAAGCGTCTGCAAAATGACTAAATGTAAATGTAAATATCCCTACTTAGAGTGTAGTTCTTAGTTTAAATCAAATTTTATAAATATTTCTGTAAGAAAAGTTTCTCATGACTTACCAGAGTTGGCAATTGACTATATTGATGATTCTTTCTTGAGATGTAAGCAGAGAGTGTGAAACGAGGTCTGGTCTGAGCAAAACTACCGCTCAGAAGTTGTCTCAAAGCAAGCTTCCTCTGTAAAAATGAGTCATAATACATGACGTGAAGTCTTACTCAACTCTGGCACATCCTCAAATGTCCTCACATTGCTCTGTTTTAACAAGTTTTCTTTCTTGCATTAATGCAGTATGTAGATATGCAATAATGTTCAAAGTATAAGGACGTACTCTTGCTGCTCTGCAACACTGTTGGACAAACTATAGCAACAGTTTCACAAACTGGTTGCATGCAAATATGCCACTTGGCATAAATCCATCTAATTTAAAAGGCATTTTCATGTATGTCCTAATCATAAGATCCATCTGTTTTATTCCAACTAGTATTTCTAAGCAAACTATGTGAAGCCAAACTCTTCAAGAGAGTAAGAAACTGTGCTTCCCTCGAAAAACGTAGCGCATTGCCTAAATACCTACAACGACCCATTGAATAGCAGAGTGCAGAGTGGATCGGGTTTCCAAGCTCGATCTTTAAAATGTTTTAAGTACATTTACAGTAACATAACACTTAAAACATTGTATTTATCAAATATTGTTTTGACTTACCAAAGTTGACTGCTGACTAGTTTTCTGATAAAATCTAATTGAGGATGTAAGCAGAGAGTGTAAAGAAAGTTGTCTCAGCTTAAGTTCAGTGTTCTTGTTTGAGAGAAATGACCGCCCAGAGCTTGTCTCTTTATCTTCCTCTGTCTATGCATGTTGTAGAGACATCAAGATGGGAATGTTAAGTCCTAGCCAATACTAATGCTTCTTTCTTTCTCTTTCTTTCTAAAATTTCAACAATATGATATCTGCAGAGAAATATTCTTGCTATTCAGTGCCTAAGCAACCATTTTAAACTAACTAACGGTTACAAAAACCGGCAAACTTATGAAAGAAAGAAAGAGAGAGAGAGAGAGAAAGAAAGAGAGAGAGAGAGAGAGAGAGAGAGAGAGAGAGAGAGAGAGAGAGAGAAAGAAAGAAAGAAAGGCTAAATTCTTAACTGGAATTACAAAACAGCTGTATCATGTTTTATCATGTCATATCATGCTATAAAAAGGGAATGGTCATCATTTGTTTCAATAGTGAAAAATAATGACAGTTTTAATGAACATGCCCACATTCATAGCATTGGTTGAGCCAATGTTGCTTTGTTGTGTTTTAAGCCTCTGTCTTTACCACTGATCTATATAATGACTGTATTGCTCATTGCATTCGAAACTGCCATTAGGCGGTGAAGCCACCGGAAGTATTCAAGCAGCCATATTAATATTCCCTACAGAATTATGCAGGAAATATTAAACATGAACGTATATCTGGTATTAGTATCAGAAATTGATTCAACTATACAATAAATACTACAATACAAGCCTCTGTTAATATTGCTCTATATTGTATTGAAAAAAGCTTACCATGCAGCATCTTGAAAATAAAGCTTCATGTCTTTAAGTCCATATGCAGTCTGCGTTATTTCTCTAAATAAGTTATGATGCATGTATTTTATTTCCTGATTGTGCAGCATCTCTTTCAGACTCTTCAAGATCGCTCAAATTCTATGGAATTTTACTAGCATTGCAGTTTCCATAGGAGTAAAATGTTATGTATGTATGTTGAATTAATTAATTATTAATTTAACCAATGTTTAAATCATTAACTGCTTCAAAATGAATGTTGTTTACAAAATCATTGTTGAAACATTTACTGTATACGAATAAAATCCAATTGCAAAATCATATAAACAGTGAATAACTGTTCAAGGCGAATTAAGGTATATGTGTATGCAACGCATAAATCTTTATTCAGATTTCAAAATGAGCACTTTGTCATTTGAAATATATATGTTCACGATCTCATCCGTATGATGTTCGTCATGCTTATCGGATACTGTAATGTATATGAATGTTTTTATTAAAAGTTTTATTAACTTTTTTTAAGCGGGGGAAATTCCAGACATTATACAAAAAATAATGTACATGCTTAGGACGTTTGTGTTATAAGTGTGCAGGGATACTTCAGATATAAAAATTGACTCGTTAGGTGATGTTTTCTCATTAAAATCTTACAACTTTCTATTAATTCAATATAATGTAAGGGAATACTAGGGAATACAAATATGGCGGCCCAGTGGCTTTACTTTTATGATGGCATGAGCAATCCAGTTCTCTATTATAGATCAGTGGTCTTTACACTTTTTACACTGGTGGAAGGCATTACTGTGGTTACTTACACTTTTCAGAAAGTGTACATGCTAAATAATTACTTTATGAGCAAATGTGTGTGTGTGCAAATTTGCAGTGGACTCTGTTCCCTATTAATCAGTCATTCGACTTTTTTTTATTACACAGCAGAGAAAAGCAAACATGAGAGATATAGTAATGGTGCCATGGCTGTTTTTGTGTGTCCTGGATGAAAGTGCTTTCTGTGCATGAACTAGAGCTATTTATAGTGATGTGCTTGACTTCCTCTTATTTTAGGTTAAAGCCTCTTGTGTCATTAGTCCAGCTCACAGAATTGTTTATCTTGACTTTCTATGGGAAACAGAAAATAGATGTGGCATGGAGCAGAGAACAAATTTTAATTGCTAATGTATCATCGTCATATTCTGTATAATGAGTGTTTTGGTCAGCTGCATACTGTGATATTTGCTTGAAATATCAACTTATATCTACGGCTCTATTCCAAAACATACTGTAGTGAGCTGCCTTGCTGTCTACAGCTTATAGGAAGCTGCCTTCTAAAGCATCATCACTGAAATAAAGCATAGAGGAGGATAGTTCCTCGTATAAAGCCTACAGGAGAATCGATTAAAAATTGATTTCAATAATCTTTGAGCAAGCAGCAAAGCTGAACTGTTTACTATATTAGAA